GATTGATAACAAATGCACTAAAATACATCCTCAGCAAAAAAAAGAGAGAGAGAGAAGGCAGCAGTAATATCTTTCAGACGCAGAAACAGCCTTCAAACAACTTTAAATGGCCTTTCTTATTAGAGAGTGAATCCAGGAGAAGAATTTAAAACTTCATGGAGAGCGTGTATCGGTGGCAAACAGCAAAGAACAGAACAAACGAAATCGTCTCCACAAGTGTTCCAATAAGCAAAGGAACCAGAGGTGTCCATTTTCCACTCTCATTACTTGTAATGGCTTTAGAGGTTCTAAAGCAGTGTTTCTTAACCTTAGCAGCTTTAAGATGGGTGGACTTCAACTCCCAGAATTCCACAGCCAGCAAAGCTAACCCTAACGGTTCCACCACAAAACCGTGTTCGACTAAAGCGCGCTCGACGAAACCGCGTAGCTGACGTCATCACAGGACGACAACAGCGCGGAGACAGAAGCACGCTGTAAACGCTAAACCTAAAATTAACCCCTAAACCTAAACCTAACCCCCCTAAACCTAAACCTAAATCTAACCCTAACCCTTAACCTANAGGTCTCTACTATAAAGTGTAAACTTTTTTTACGATTAAAATGTATCTACTATATGGGAAGAGGGTTTCAGCGTTTTATACCTGTTCATCATACATATTTCTGTGCATATGGTACTTTATTAGTACTAAGTACTATATACAGTTTCAGGTTTTTTATATTGGCTTCATTCCATTTCACTATCAATTTGTTTTAAAGTTTACAGAACTTTAAAACAAAGCATTACATTTTCTGAATGCACTTTTTCCATAATATACCATATTTTTTCTATGTAATTACCACTCATATCATGTATTTTTGCAAGCTGTTTAGATATTCTCCTGGGTTTTACAGCATACTTTCCCAAATCCATCCAAAATATTTAAACAATGTAGTTTGAAGAAAAATCTAAACATATAAAGGCCTGTTTAAAATTTTAAAACCCCCATATTAATGGCAAAAGAGAATGGAATCAGCAATAAATTATGCAAAAGTAGCATGATTAGATTTCAACTGATTTAGGAGTCCCCAATCACTGTGAGGAATATACTTAAAAGGTAGACTTGATTTTCCGCCCCACTTGTTCATTATCACTGTTATTTACCTTTAGACTGAATCTTTTAGATTTTAAACTGGCAAATACTTCCATTATTTGTATATAAATTGCAGATATTTATAGTTAAAGTACATGGGAAAAATTGTGTGTGTATGGGTGTAAAATAAATGGCCAAAATTTCTGCCCCAAAGAATCTGTCATCCTGAATTGTTTATTCATAGCAACTTTCATGCTATTATCTTAAAAATTAGCAAGATTCTATTACACATGCAACATATGGATACTCAAAACACACACTTTGATAATAAAATTAACTTTAACTAGTCATACAGCACACAGCAAACTACTAGCCTGGATTTGACGCCTAGAAATGGGTAGTAGGAAAATCAAATTTCTTCAAGTCCGAATTTTTACTGTCAAGAAAGGAGAAGGCAAATCAGGAGAAATGCAAAAGGAAGGGGGAAAAAGGGGAAAAAAAGAGAGGCAAAACTGAGAAACCCAATGTTGTTTTTACAAAAGTAACTCTAAAGAGCCAAAAATATATTAAATGTGTAATGAGTGAAAGCTTGAGAAAGTAAACACAATCCTTTCTCAGAAACCAAATCAAATCATAAGACCGAAGATCAGTAAATGAGAAACAACGCTGCAAATACATCGATAAAAAACAGAGCCATCCATTAAGCACATCAGCAAATAAGTAGCAATGCCCCACTGCAAACTTTAAAGCAAACAATATGCTTTGCATAAAGCAGTCAGCTTGCTCACTAGTTCCAGGGAACATGCGAGCTGTTCCCGCTTGCTGAAAGCTCTCAACTCGGGATGGCAGAGTTGGGTTTGACATTAATTGGTTCAATAAAAGCCAAGGCTTCACACTCCTGGATTCAGAAGAAACCCTGATGCAAAGCGAGAAGGAAACAATCCTTGCCAAGAAGCTCAACGGTTCCTCAACAGCGGGCATTCCTGTGGCCCAAAAGCAGCCTGCTTTTAAACAAGATGTCTAAGTGGTAAGTCTCAATGATGCTACTTTTTGAGAGGATGGGAGGTAGACGGAAGGGTCTGGACATGATCTCCTCCAATTTGATGCCAATCCATGATGGTTAGTTAGCATTGTGCCCCAAAAGTGGCTAATATGGGATGGTGGAAACTGAAGCTGTCATCTGGAGTTCATCAGACACAGAAGACTGCTTCACAAAATTCTTTTGGAGGAGTCTACTGTAGTGCATGCCATGTGCCTGAGATAAGTCCGTTCCATGTTATTTAATGCTAAATACTTTTTAAAAACCACTGATTAATTTTTAATCAACATCCCTAATTCTAAGTACCCTTGCGCTTAGAATCTCAACCAGCTGGACAAATAATAGAATCCTCCTTCGTTCTAGAGGGAATCAGAGAAATTTTGAGTAATAGGAGAGAGCAATTTACAAGAAAGGACATTAGAACCACAGCAGCAACCCATGTATACATCTGAACCAGTGATGGGATTCAGCCGGTTCGCACCACTTCGGGAGAACCGGTTGTTAACTTTCTGAGCAGTGTGGTGAAGTGGCTCTTGGAAGAAATCATTAGGGTAGAGAACCGGTTGTTAAATTATTGGAATCCCACCACTGATCTGAACGTACTTTTTATTAGGAGTTT